CTTGTTAAATTCTCCACCTAGAAAAAAAAGGAGGGAAAAGAAGTAGTTTAAAGTTGTATATAATTGCCTTAATTTATAATTATTTTTAGGGTACTAATTAATAATTATTATTTATCTCTCGAACAAGTTTTTTAGTTCTCTGTTTCCGACAAGGACACAAAAATAATCAATTATAAAAAGTTAATATGATATCTAGCCGCGAAAAAAGTCTATCTTCACTGCAATTATATTTTAGTCTGTCCTCCTCTTTTCTCTTTCTGGCTCTGTGAAAAAATAATAAGTGTCTAGTTAGTATCCAAAAGGAAAATATTCGGCTTCATTCGGAAAATTTCCTATTCCATTTGCGACAAATCTTAGAAAAATCTTATCATTCTCTCCCCGAGATAGACGAAATTTATTTTACCTCACTTCCGAGCGGACAAACCGGATTGAGAGTTGGCTTGGCCTTTCTCACCACTTATCAAGTGCTTAATCCCAATGTCAAATTATATCATATAAATAGTTTATTATTACAAGCCGGAACTAATAATTGTTTTAGTTTATTAACTATTGATAGCCGTGAGAGTAAATATTACGTAGCAGTTTATCAAAAGGAGAAATGCTTATTAGAGAGTCGAATTGTTCTCAAAAATGAATTAGTGCAATTAGTCAAAAAATTTCCTAAATTTCTGATTTTGAAAGACTTTCAACAAGTCGATTTCTTAACTAATTTTCAGAAACTAAAAAGTCATTTTACTTTACTGAATAAAGTTGAAGAAATCAATTATTAATTTGATAGTTTAATTTGGTCTGAGTAGCGTATTAATTAATCCCTTTCTTTTTTTAGAACTTGTTTCGCGTTACTCTCTTATATGTAAAAACATTAAATATGGATAAGTTAAACCACAAATTAGATATCAAACCAATTATCTCTACCCGCAACTTTCTCGCCGAGATTATTCAAAACGCTAGTAATGATTATGAAAAAGCGGGTGCTATTCAAGCCTTTGAAGTCTGTTATGAATTAGCCAAGAATACTATCAGAAAAATATTATTGCTTCGAGCCCAAGAGGTTCATATTACTCCCAAAGAAATCTTTCGCTTAGCCGCACTAGAAGGCTTAATCCCTGATGCCGAAGTCTGATTTGAATTTGCCAAAAAAAGAAATAAAACTAGCCATACCTATGACGGAGAAATAGCCGAAGAGATTTTAACTTCCTTGCCTAATTTTCTCCGCGAATTAAATTTACTAATTACTAAATTACAAAAACTACCCGAATGCTCCAATTAGAACCACGACACCACCAAATAATCCAACAAATACTAAGCAAGTATCCTTATACTTTTTATGCTTATGGCTCCCGAGTCAAAGGAACTGCTCGCCGCTTGTCGGATTTGGATATTTGCTACCAAGAGGATATTCCGGATAATATCGCCTTTAAAATCGAGGAAGAATTTAAAGAAAGTGATTTACCTTTTCTGGTCGAATTAGTGGCTTGAAAAGACATGAACCTGCACTTTCAGCAATTAATCAAAGCGGATTTAACGAGATTAGCATAATTAAACTTCTGAAAATTTAAAATAATTTTACCGTTTCGAAAATTGAGTTTTTTTCCGAGCCTTTTTGAAACCAACTTTTTTTCGCTCTACTCGGCGAGCATCGCAGGTCAGTAAGGAAAAACTCTTCAGAGTTATTTTATATTCGGGCGAGATTTTTAATAACGCCCGAGCAATACCTAATCTAATGGCTTCGGCTTGACTATGAAACCCACTGCCTTTTACTCTGATTAGTAAATCGTAATCATTTTGTTTGCTAAATAATTTGAGCGGTTGGTAAATATCTTCGCATAAAGAGGGTTCCATATAAAAATAATCTTTTAAATCTTTTTCCTGACCGGTTTTGGTTCTAATGTGGGCTTGTCCTTGACCTTCTTTTAAGTAAACACGAGCAGTTGCTTCTTTTCGTCGTCCTACTCCAATATAATAATTACTATTTATCACAACTATAAACTTATTTTAATAAAATTTTTTTCCTGGCTGGCTAAATTATGGCTTTCCTCGGTAAAAATAAATAATCTTTTTAATTGTTTATTTCCTAATTTGGTATGGGGCATCATGCCTTTAACAACGCGAAAAGTTAATTCGCGAGGATGGCTATCAAGCATTACTTTTAAACTTCTTTCCCGTAATCCACCGGGATAACCCGAATGATTGTAATAATATTCCTTACCCAATTTATCGCCAGTAAAGGAAACATATTTGGCGTTTATCAGAACCACATAATCACCTAAATCTGAATTAGGCAAAAAGTTTTTTTTATCTTTGCCCCGTAAAATTTCAACTATTCTAGTCGCTACTCTTCCGACTATTTGATTTTTTAAGTCCAAAAAATATCAGTGGCGAGTAACTGATTTTAACGAAGGAATAGTAGTTTTTTGTAATTGTTCACTTTCTTTACTTTCGATATTCATATTATTATAATTAGTTTTTTCTCTTTTTGTTTGCTATTTCTGCGGAAATTTTCAATTAGAGTTTTCTACTAACTGTTTTTCTTTTAATTACTTTCTACCAATATTTTTGCTAAAACTAATATTAACAAATAAATTTCAAACCGAAAAAATCCTCCTCAATCCCGTAATTTACTGGCTTTTTTTTTTTTTTTTTTTTTTGCAGATATGGGAAAGTTTAGTGTTATAAAATATTAATTAGTATATGCAAATATACATAAATAAAAAAAATAATATGGTAGATATATACGAATATCAAAATAAAAATGTTAAACAAATTGAAGAATTAGTTAGCACAGCGGGCATTCTTAACGCTGAACTTACCGATAGGATTAGACAAATTGCGGAGAAAATGCCACATTTAAAGGAGTGAAGCAAACGAATGATTACTTGGCGAAGTGCTATTTATGAAGCCAAAGATGTTGAAATGATTGATAAAATTTATAATGGAATGGCGGAGTTAATTAAAGAAATAATGCAGGAGCAACATGAGGAAGAAATGGGAAAAATTGAAAAAAATACTAAGCGGTGAGAAGATCACTATCGTAAAATTAGCGAGAGTGAAAAGCAAAACGCCGAATGATGAAAAAAATATAATGCTAATGAACTAGATTGACAAAAAGACCAAAAGAAAAGAGATGAAGAAAATAAAAAACGACTAGAAGAATCGGAAAAAAACAGGGATGAAAAACATAAGAAAGAGTTTATTAGTGAAATTGAAATGGAATTGATTAAGGAAAATATTTCCGATGAAAGATTAAGTAAAAGAGTGGGAGTAAGTGATTGAAGAGAAAAAATTAGACAGGCAGATGGTTTTTCGGCGGCTCTTTCAATGAAGTCCAGTTTAAAAGAGTTAGTTTGAAGCAATTTGAAAAATGAATATACTTGTGCTAAGTGCGGAGTGAAAAAAGAAGAGTTTACCGTTTACGAAAAGGGCGATAAAAAATATTGTTCTTATGAATGTAAAAATGAAGGAGAGGATAAAAAAGAAGATGAAAAAAAGTTCAACAATTTCAGCGTAAGTGATTTTTTTGCCTTAATGAAAAAACTGGATGCGAAAGAAATCCGTTTTGACTTTGCAACTAATCAGATAATAATTGAATTTAATAGCGGTGGAAGCAAAAAATTAAATGAGGTTAATAGTGGTTTATCAGCGGAACAAAAACAAAATTTAGAAAGTGAATTAAAATCTACCCAAAAACCAATTACCTTTAGCCAAATTAGCCAAGAAGTTAGCGAGGGGAAGGGCAAGAAAAACGATAATTTGGGGAAAATAATAGGTGCCGTAGTAGTAGTTGGACTAATAATGGCAATTATAATTGGTGCGGTTATTTATCAAAAAAGAAAAAGGGATTACTAAATAATATTCTCGGATGTTTTTGAAATTTTGATTTTGAGTTAAAAGAATTTTTAAACGAATACACAGTATTTTTACTTTGTCTCGTTCTAATCCCAGTATTTCTGACGCCCAAGTTTCAGTCGATATCATTAATGACAAGATAAAGTTATTAAAAGGAACCAGTAAAAACTCGATTAATTTGCTGGCTTACCAAAAATATTTCGATTTTTTGGAAAGATTGGATTTAAAGGAAGAATTTACTATTACTACTACCCACGACGATTTAATTTTGTCGGGCACCAGCATTCAACCTATTTTAAGCAACGAAAATAATAGAAAAGTAATTATTTTTTGTCATGGCTTAACTAATAATAAATGGTCGTTGTTTTATTGTCTGCATTTATCCTTACAAATGGGTTATCAAGTAATTACTTACGATGCCCGTAATCACGGACTTTCGGACAAATCTTATACCAGTTTAGGTCAGACCGAAGCCAGAGATTTGCAAGATGTTATCGACTGAGTGCGGAAAAAATATCAACCGGAGAAAATTGGATTATACGGCTTTTCCATGGGTGCCAGCACTTTATTATTTTGAACTAGTTATTTTGCTGGTGGTGATAACCCAGAAGTAGTCTTTGCCATTTGTGAATCTTCGTTCGATAACTTTTCCGAACAATTAAAAAGAGCGTTGGGAAGTAGATTAAGTATCAATTATTATTGAAAAGAATTTATGATTAACAAAATGGTGCGGGATATACTTAATAGTTCTTATGAAGAATTGGAAAAAGTAAATCCTATTCTCGTTTTACCCCAGCAACTCCCAATTAAATTATTATTTATCCATGGTCTGGATGATGTCATTATTGATTGACAAGCCTCGTTTAATTTATGATACCAATTACAAAAAAATAAACTAAATAAAAAAAAAATTAATTTGTATTTGTGCCGTCATGCCGACCATGGCGAAGTTTCTTTTATCGGAGATTTTGTACCGCGAAGTTTACGCTGAAAAAAAAGAAGAAGAGTTTCCCAATTCACTTTTACTACTCTTTTTGCTACTTACTTAGAAAAAAACCTATAAAATTTTGGTATGGAAAAGAAAAAAAGAAAGCCAACCCGGGATACGAAAAGGAAAAAACGCAAATCTCCCTTACGGCGTGGCGAGGAAAGACAAGGTATTAAGTAGTGAAAAATATAATATAGAGAGTATTAGCTCAGTTGGGAGAGCGTCTGCCTTACAAGCAGAGGGTCGCTGGTTCGAGCCCAGCATACTCTACCAAATTAAAAATAATGTGAAAAACAGTTGCTAGGTTTATTAGTGAACCAATTTATCAAGAAGTTAGTTTTATGAAATTTTATAAAGCCGTCTTGGAAAATAAAGAAGGGAAGTTTACCTGCTCGTTCGGTGAAAAATATTTACAAGATTACTCCAAGGATAAGCCGATTTGTTTTTTAAAATGCAAAAAGACTAATTTCGGTTTTTCCTGCCAAGGAATAGAATTTTTAGAGAACAACGAACCACTTACTTCCTGGGAAGAGACTTCACGCACCGAAAGCAAAGCGATTAAGGAAGAATCAAAACAAGAAATTCAGGAAAAGTTAAAAATAGTTAGTAATTTATTAGAAAAACAAACTAATACTTTGTGAAGTTTACGCATAGAAAACAAACCTTTTTCAGTTTATTTAGAATGCTCTGATAAGCCTTATTTAAAATTCGGAATAACCGACTCGCCCCAACATCAAATAAATCTGGATGCTAACCCGGCCCTTAATCATTTAAAAAATATTTATATTAATTTAACCAATATTGACATTTATCATCTCTTTAAAGATATCCAAGAAAGGATTAAGGTTCTGGAAAAATTAATCACTTAACTAGCTGATTTAGCTCAATTGGCAGAGCAACCGCCTTGTAAGCGGTAGGTTGTAGGTTCAACTCCTACAATCAGCACCATTTTTTAGTAAAAAATAATGAACAAAATCAACTCTCTTTATTCTTTCATCAAGCAAGTCAGCCAGCAAAAAGGTCGTTCACTGAAGGTTATTGCTGATTGAGATGAGTGTTTACAACCATTTAATCCAACCGTATGATACGAGCTTATCAATAAAAATAACTGAGGCGAAGGAAAAGAATTAAAACCATTTAGAGAATATTTCGATTTTTTCTGAGAAAATGCTTCTATGCAGTATTTTCCTTTTCAAAAAACCACTAATACATGTAATAAGGTAATAGAGGAATTAAGAAAGGATTCCGATAAATTTCAGAAAGTCAGAGAACAATTTTTTGAGTTAGCTGAAAAACCTGATTTCTATAAAAAAGCTCCTTGGTTGACTATCGCTGAGGAACTTTTTAATGCTCGAAAAGAAGGATTGATCGGTGAATTAATAATTATAAGTACAACAAGAGGCAAAGACAATAGAAAAAAATCCAAATTTCAAAAAACTTTCGGCAAATTTCCTCAATCTTCATTATTGATAAAAGGTAAAGGAAATCTTTTAGGTATACACAGAAGAGAATACATTCGCGATAATCACCCTGATTTTGATATTTTTATTGATGATCATGCGGATATAGGAGAATGTCCAAATTATTTCAACAATCCCAATAAAATCTATCTTCTTCCTGATTACAAAACCACAAGTCATATTCAAGCTCCCAATATCTACCACGTTAAAACCACAGTCTCCGATTTAAAAGACCAAGACTTCACTATTGCTGCTTTGGAGCTAAAAACCAAACAGTTAGAACAACAATTAAAAACTAGCAAAGCCGAGAGAGAGAGAGAGAGAGCAATTTTGCTATTTTCCGTGGGAGGAATAATTATTTTTTCTCTGCTAATTATAATTATAACTATTTGAAAGAGAAAGAAGAATAATATTAATACATAAAAATATGCTAATAAAAACAAAATTAAAAACTGGCGATTTAGTCAAAGTTATTACCGGTCAACACCGCGGCAAAATTGACTATATTTCCCGCCTCGACCGCAAAAATCAAATAGTATATTTAAAAAAAGTTAGTCGGAAAAAATATGATAAATCCACGGCTGAAAGTAAGGAAAAGAAAGAATTAAAAGAAATTATGGTTCCGCTTTCCCTTTCTAATGTGGCTTACTGGTTAGAGGATAAAAAGAAAATTACCAAAATTGGTTTTCAAATAGTTGATGGAAAAAAACTGCGTAAGTCTCGCCAATATAACACTCGAATAGACTAGTTATATAAGAATAATTTGTTAAATTCTTATCCTCTTGATTAGAAAATAGGAAAAATTAAGTATGGCTAACTAATCAGTAATTCATTAAAACTATATATATATATATATATATATGACTAATGAATTTAATAATTGAAAATTTCATCCCTGGAAAAAAAATTGTGAACAAATAGAATTTTGCTTTTCAAAACCGGGAGCAAAAAGCAGTAGTGAATTCACTTGAAAGGATTTTTTGGAACTTTGCCAAGCCGGTAATAAAGATTTTAACACCATATTGAGAATGGCTCTCAATCATGCTACTAAGGAACTCTCAGGCTACTTTTGGGAATGTCTGCCAGTATCAAAAAAGACTATTAACAGACCCTTTAAGTTTGTATTAACTAAATCAGAAAGCTTAAATAATATTACCCAAAATTGAACCAGTTTTGGGAAGCATATCTCAGATAATTATCAAAAATGAGTTTGTAGTTTTCCTAATCAGAGGAAGGATAGTGTCTTAGTTATTCCTATTCCTAAACCCGGACCAGACCTTGATTTTAAAAATATTAGCCAATTTACCAAAAATGCTCCCGACGAACAGCAACAAGCGTTTTGAAAAGAAGTAGCTGAAAAATTGTCCGAAGAATTGGAAAAAAGCCCCGACCCGAAATGATTATCCACGTCCGGTTTAGGCGTTAGTTATTTACATGTGCGGATTGACAAACAACCAAAATATTATCAATTCGAAGAGTATAAAAATTTTGATGACCGCCAACCCGACCCGGACAAAACACCACAACAAAATAACCCTGACAAAACTCCCTCAACCCAGCCAGATAATAGCAATTTCACTTTATATGTTTTTTTCGGAGTAACAGGCGGAATTATAATTTTATTTATGGTTTGGTTTATTTGGAAAAGAGGCAAAAAATAAGTTGAGCGGAAGTAGCCAAAGACTTACGAGCTCGCGATGAACGAGATAGAAAACGAACTCTTTCTCCGTTGCGAAAAACTGCTGATAGTTGAGAATTAGATACTACTAATTTAACTCTACCAGAAAGTGTAGCCAAAATAATAAAAAGATATAATGAGTTAATATGATAACAAAATTAAATTTGCTTTGCAGAGCAAAAAAGTATTAAAGACTAAATTGCTTCTCTCTTTTTTATCTTTGCAGTTCTTTGTCTTTTATTTTTAGTTTCTTACCAATACTTTTATTAAGAACAAATTTCCGCACATGCTTTAGTTATTTTTTCTTTAATTTGCTTCACCAGTTGACTAATTCTTAATAAAAATAAATTAAAATGGAGTTAGAATATTTACAAGAGTTAAATGAGCAGCAAAAACAAGCTGTTTATGAAAAACACCATCGAGTTTGTGTCATTGCTGGTCCGGGTTGTGGCAAAACCAAAACTTTGGTCAGTAAGGCGATTTATTTATTGGCTAGTCAGCAAGCCCAGCCAGAAAATATTCTGATTTTAACTTTTGCCAAAAAAGCAATTAAAGAAGTCCGCAAGAGAATTTTCTCGGCTATTACTAATATTTCTCCCAAGAAATTACATATTTATAACTTTCATTCTTTTTGTTTTCGAGTGCTAAACAAACATTCCCATTTATTGGGCTTTCCCGACAGTAAATTCCCGGTTTATGACCGCCAAGAACAAGAAGTAATAGTTCGCAAAATAATTAGTCAAAATAATTATAATTGCGACCAAAAAGAGGTAAATACTATTATTGCCTGTATTAGTGGCTGAAAAAACGGTAAACTTACTGCTGACCCGCTACAATTTGATGAATTAGCCAAAAGAAGGTATGAAATATATGAAAAATATCAAGAGTATTTAATAGTTAATAAAACCCTCGACTTTAATGATTTACTTCTTTACACTATTACTCTTTTCACTTATCATCCCCCAGTTCGGAAAGAATACCAAGCCCAATTTACTCATATCCTCTTGGATGAATTCCAAGATATTAACGCTATTCAATGGGAAGTAATTAAGTTAATTTTAAGTGACCAACAAAAGGTTTTTTTAGTGGGTGACCCCAATCAAGCTATTTATGGATTTCAAGGAGCAACTCCCCACTTAATTTCTTCTTTTACCCGCGATAAGAACTGAAAAACTATCTATCTTAACACTAATTATCGCTCCACTAGTAATATTCTTGATTTAACTAATTCTTTTGTCGAAAAAAATGACTCCTCGCTAATTAAGAACCTCCTAATTTCTTCTAAGACGCAAGGACTAAAAGCAAATTTAACTACTCGCTTGTCTTTACGCTCGTTAGTTAACCAAATTCGCTGATTACTGGCACGGGAAAAACTGCAATTTAGCGACATTGCTATTTTATACCGAAATAATTATCTTTCCAGCCGTATCGAACAAGAATTAGTCGCTCAAAAAATACCTTATGAAATCCTGGGTTCTTTCAAGTTCATTGAACGGGAAGAAATTAAAGACGTCTTAGCCTTTTGCCGCACCATTATTTACCAAGATAATATTTCTTTATTGCGAATACTAGGATTACAGGAGAAAATCGGGGTTCGCACTATCGAAAAAATTGAACAAAGTAGTGAAAAAGAAGGGGCTAGTATTTACCATTATCTTAATAATTTTACTACTAGCACTAATTCAAGTCAGGAAAATACTAGCAATGCTAAATTGGCTGCCGGTCAACTAGAAAAAATAACCGAGTTTGTTTCCAAAGTTAATAATTGAAAGGAAAAATTAGCAAAACCCATTTCGCTCAATAATTTTCTTTTAAGCGTGCTTAACGACTTTAATTATTGGGCCCACTTAAAAACCAAGATTAATCCGGTCGAGCGCGAAAAAAACGTTCAACAGTTCCTTAACATTGCACAAAACTGGGAAAATAAGCGCCAAAAAGAATATCCCAATTTAGGGGAATTGTTAAATACTTTTTTACAATGAATTATTATTGCTTTTGAGGACAAGAAATTATTAAAAACCCGTAATAATTTAATTCTTTCGTCAGTTCACCAAGCCAAAGGGCTAGAGTTTGAAGTAGTATTTTTTGTCTACTTAGACCATGGAACTTTACCTTACCGTGATACCCAAGACCTCACCGAAGAAAGAAGATTATTTTATGTTGGTATTACCCGTGCCAAAAGATTATTATATTTAGTTAGTAGCAAGGAATTATATTCCCCCTTTTTGGACGAGTTGGATAAAAAGTATTTAGAAAGTAAGTAGCAATTAATTTTTCCTCCGTTTGGCTAGAAAAATAAAACATAGCAAACCAATTACTACGCCGGCAATTCCGAGACCAATCACTCAATTGAGTTTATTATTATTGTTATTAGTTAGATTTGGCGAGTTATCGGAAGGATTATTTTTTAATTGGTCTAATTCTTTATTTTTGTCGCGGAGAGAATTTTTGCTATCGGTTAACTGTCGCTCTTTTTCTTGCCGCTCGCTGGCACTTAATTGACTGTTGGCTAATTGTTGTTCTAATTCTTGGATTTTTTGTTGTAATTGGGATTTTTCTTGCTCTAATTGTTTTATTCGATTAGTTTGCTGAGGGGACTGAGTAGGAGGCGGGGTTTGATTGGGCTGCTGTGGTGGGACATTTCTCTCTCTCTCAGCTAAAATTTCTTTTTTCATTTCTTCCGTTATTTCTTCGCCAATTTGTTCGACTCTTTCCTCACTAAGTACTTTTTTGACCTCAAAAAATAATTCATCACCTTCTTTGTCTATCTCACTCAGCTTTCTCTCTAATTCTTTTTCTTCGGCTTCGCCATACTTATTTTTAAAACTTTTTTCTAATTCGCTTTCTTGTTGTTTTCACTCTTGTCTACAAGATTCACAAAAAGTAAAATCAAGGGTACTTTTTTCCGTCCCGCCCTTGTCACGGATAAATTTATCTGCTAGACTTCATACTTGTTTTTCGTAAAGTTCAATATCACTTGTTTCTTTGCTTAATGCCGCTGATAATCTTTCTATTTTTTTAATTTGGGGATGAAACTCGGCAGGGGCAGTTTGGCGAAAAATTTCGGTAGAGCAGATTTTAACTTGGTACATTTACTAACCAATATTATCTTATTTACACTGGAACCAATTTCCTTGTTGCAAGCGTCACATTTATTAGTCATAATATTATAATTTTATCACACTATTATATTTATTCATAACTTTGGCAAAATTATTTTCGGAAATTCATTCTTGTAAACTAGTTAAAAGAGTAGGCAAAATTATTTCAATTTGCTTTTTTTCTGACTCGCTTAACTTACCTAAAACCCAGTTATGAAGAGAAAAACTTCGGTCATAACCAATACCAATTCGCAACCTTGGAAAATGTTTGCTTCCCAATAGTTCAATAATATTTTTTAGTCCGTTATGTCCGCCGTCGGAGCCTTGTAGGCGATAACGAAAATTTCCTAACGGTAAAGCGATATCATCATAAATTACTAATAAATTATCTAAAGAAATATGAAAATAACTTATAAAGGCTGAAACGCATTCGCCCGAATTATTCATGAAAGTTTGCGGCTTGAGAAGAATATATTCTGGGGTTTGATAATACCAACCATTAAACTTTTTTTGTTTTAAACTTACTGCTAATTTTTGGGCTAGACTATCAATAACTCAAAACCCTAAGTTATGACGAGTATTTTGGTATTCTTGTCCGGGATTACCCAGACCAACTAATAACTTCATACTTAAACTTTACCAGCGAGAGCGGGGTCGGTTTTTATAATTTCCAACGCTTTTTCTTTACTATCGCAAATGGTAGTAGTGGGATGCTTCGTTCTTACTTGGAAGACATTGTTCCTCCGCAAGATTGTCTTTCCATCGTTATTTACATATCAATCGAAACAAGTTTCGTGTCTATCAGAATTTTTCTCAAAGATAATAAATCAGTTTCCGCTGACAATTTTTTGGTCTAATCTATCCCCACTATATTCATCAGAAAGGTCGTCAACACTATCAAAATTGCTTCCTAAAAAACAGATTAGGTTTTTTCTAAGTGGGATGTTTTTCAACTCATAACCTTTTTTCTCAAACTGCTTTTCATAAACAGCGGCTAGTTTGGTAAGATGGTCGGTAAGTGTTCCGGAAGAAGTGAGGCGCCAATTGACTTGAACTCCCCCATTTCTATTTGTTGCTGGCCTTGTTTTCATAGTTTCCAACTCTCCTAAATTAAAAACAAAATATTTTTCTAATTCTAACCTTTTTTCCAGCAAGTATTTTTCTAAATCTTTTTCCGTTAATTTTTGCGGGTTGTCGTTTTGGGGTTGATTAGCAGAGCCAGTTTTTTCTTTCTCGTTTTGGTTTCATTTCCAAATAGCAAATACTCCTCCTATCATAATAATTAGCACCAACAAAATAATTATTGCTCTGTTTTTCTTCATTATTATATTTTTCTAAACTTTATAATTACTAGTAATTTGTCTTTTGGGCTTTTCCTTTTCGACCTATTCATTTAATAAAGAGAAAAAGGAACAGGGAGAATATTAAGATTGGTAGACAGACCCAAGCAATTTTAGTTCAATAATTATTTTCCTTTTCGGACTGGGCTGGATTATTATTCGACTTTTTGGTTGGCTTTTTCTTGTCATTACTTAATTCGTAGAAATAATTTTTACTGTCCCAAAAACCAATTTTTTTAACTGTATTTTCAAAATAATCCTTTGTCTTCAAAACCATTCAATTTCTATTATTAGTAGTGAATTTTGCTGTCTTTTCTTCTCCTAAATTTATAATGAACTTGTATTTTTTTGTCTCCCGCCGTGGATCACCAAAATCTATCCCCGCCTTTTTTGCCAACTCATCGGGTATTCAAAACGAACAATTTTTTTTACTATCAGTGTAATAGACGTGAGCGTCTGGTATGATTTCTGGGTTAAGCACTAAAAATTGGTGATATTCTTTCGGTTCCTTGTCATTGAAGAATTTTGTCTTTGGTTTGTTTGTATAAATGCATTTAAGTGCTAATTCTGTCATTACAAATTAAAAAAAATGGCGCCTAGTGCAGGAATCGAACCTACGACCAACCGGTTAACAGCCGGACGCTCTACCGCTGAGCTAACTAGGCTAATTGTTTACTTTTTTCTCTTTTTCCAACCAACCACCAACAAAATCACTAAAAAAGATGCTGCTATCCCACCTCCAACACCCCAATAAACTCTCTCTCTCTCTCTCTCTCTCAGCTTGAGCAGTTTTTAATTCTTGTTCTAACTGCTTAGTTCTTAATTCGAGAGC